TGAGGGTGCGGATCTCCACGGGGAGATTGTTCCATAGCGTCGGAGCTGCAACTGAGAAGGCTCTATGGTCATCCCCATAGCCTGCTAAAAACAGCAAGGGTTGACATTGCCTGAGGTGTACATAAAGTCCCCACTGGGACTGCTGCTATGGCAGCCATTTCTGCTGCTGACTACCTCATTCCTTCTTCGCGTGACTTCTCCAGCAACTGCAATTGGGAGAGTTGGCAGGAGCTCTTCTGCAGCAGGCAACAGAAGCAGCTGTGACTGATGTTCTCTTGATACCACATTTTTTTTCTAATACTGCCCCTCTTCCCATCACCACAGTAGCTACCACCTCCTCCTCAAGTCACAGCTGCCTCTTGTCCCCAGGAAGGCCAAATGTTCACTTATGAAAGGCACGGAGGTTATTGTTGCTGCTGCCATGATCACCACCTTTCAAGGAATTGCCACATCAACCATACTTCATCTCTTGCTCAGCTTGGTCACTTTGAGATGATGAGCCAGGAGTCAAGTCATCCATTGACTGATCTACATAGTCAATGAATGCATAAGTGGGAAAACACCCTTAGGATCAGTCTTTACATCTACGATAGGTGCAGATTCTCACCAATATTTTCTGGAACGCAGGCCATCCTAGCAAAGACAGAACTTATCTTTGGATTGGGGAATAAGAATAACTTTGACTTTAGTTATTGAAGTCCACAATATAAAAGTGTTATAGTAGTGTTACAGCCGCTAATTTTCTTAGAACAATGAGTTTGCCTATTACTTCACCCTTTCTCAGGAACTCGGCGGAACCTCCGTAATGATTTGCTGGTAGCAGCTGATTCAATTACCAATACAATGTCATATTTGGTGAAGGAGCTTCATTCAGGTATGCAAGAAATTTCTATATTAATCTAAGCAAGAGACTCAAGGAATCTAAATTTTGGGTGCCAGTGATGTTTCCTGTAGTGAGGCTTTCAACTGAGAATTAGTCCAAATGTTAATACAATTTTCCTCAACAAAATAAGTTGAAAGAAATACGTTGTTCTAGGGCAGTTTTTCTTTATCTCAGCATTTAAGATGTTGGATTTCAACTCCAACTGAAATCCAGACATCTAAAAGGCGCTAAGATTGAGAAATACTAGTCTAGGATGGCAGATTAAATAATTTATTTACTTTATTTACTTAATACAATATTTCTTTATGGAAAATAAACTTAATAAAGTAAATAATAAAGTAGGAAAATTTAGGAAAAAGTTGTATTTATTTTATTTATATTTTATCTTCGTGCTAATGAGAATCATTTTGTCTCGTGCTTATCTGAGCACACTTATTTTATAAATAAAATAAACTCTACGCTTTGGTTCAAGGCATAAATATTCCATAATCAAACACTTGCTATCAAAACATAGAACAGTTTTTTGGCAGAATGGAAGGCCAGCCGGAGGAACTAACTAATTTCAAGGATAGAGGTGAAAATATTGTAATTGCCCAAATGGGCTGATGGAGAATGTGAAATACATTTTTCTTGAAGAAATTTAGATAGTTGTAGGTGATGATATACAGTTCGCTAAATATTTAGATTCTTGATTTTCCTCCAGATGTGTTGCCTATAATTCCCAAAGGCCCAAGGCCCACTCCACACTTGGGTTGCTTGGAGCGGTAGTCAAACAAATCTGGAAGACAGCCATAGTTTGGAGAACAGAGGCCCAAAAAGTACATGCATATATCAAGAGAGGTTAGCTTTAAAGGACAACCTAGACATAATTCATAGACAAATTGAAATGTATCCTCCAGCATAAGGAGAAAAAGACTGGATGCCTCAGGGTAATATATTTTAGAGACAGTTCTGCAGCTGTCCTTTCTTTTTTAATGACTAATCATTCATAATCTACAGCTAAATAAGTGAGAATCTAGACCAGTGTTTTTCAAACTTGGCAGCGTCAAGGCATGTGGACTTCAACTGCCTGGATTCTGTAGCCAGCATGTTTACAGCATTTGAAAAACATTGGTATAGGCCAGGGGTGGGCTTCAAAAATTTCAGCTACGGGTTCTCTGCTTGGTTGCTGGGTGGGTGTGGCCATGGTGGGTGTGGCCTGGTCTCCAGCACCACAGTTGGGGGGGGGTCCTTTTTCGCCTTGCCCAGGCTCTGGAGGATTTTCTCGAGCCTCTGGGAGGGCAAAACCTGCCTCCCCTGGGTTCCGGAGGCCTTCCCATAGGCCTTGTTTTCCCCCCTTCCTGAGCCTCTGCATGGGCCCTGCACTTACCTCGCATCCAAAACGAGCCGCATGGAGACTCCTGGGAGGGGAGGAGTGGGCAGGGCCAGGGGTGGGATTTGGAGGTTCTCCGAACTTGGGCGAATCCGTAGCAGCCCACCCCTGGTATAGGCCTAACAGTTGCAACTTAGACAAGATTAGAGCCCTATTCCTTGGTTCCTCTTTAACTACCAAAACAAACGAACAGGTTTGGCTCACAAATCTGGCACATGGATAAATCTACTTTCTAGGTAGACAAAAAGGCTAATCATCGGTTTCCACTAGAATATTTAAAAGGTTAGAATCAGAAATGCTGAATTTGATTTTAAAATCAAACCACACTTGGATTTAGTTAACTAGGTTTAGGAGGAATCTGAATTTTTGAAAATACTTTACAATCTCATGTTACAGGGCAGATTCCTGGAGCTTTACAAAATCAAGACATTTTCATTTACCAGCTGGTTGAAAACAAAATAATTATATCTTACTTTTTTTGGAGTAACTTCTAAAGAGGGAAATAATTTGTTCCTTGGATGACCTAGACACTAGCCAGTTCCTTCTGCAGCTATAGCTCTGTAGCTTGTCATACAAGAAATCATCTGGGTTACATATGCATGTAGATTTTGATCTAGTTCTCTTTGAGTCATGACCAAGCAAGGGAATAAGTCAGGCTAAACAGGTCACAAAAAGGTCACAAAAATGCACTGGAGAAACCAGATGCTGGAGCTGATCAGAATGCAAACTCCATAGGGAGGCCAGGAAAGACATAGAGAGTGCTGTCAAATAGAATTCCAGTGGGTAATCATAGCAGGCCCACAAATAACTTAGTACTGGTGACATCCGGTCCTTCTCCTAGCCAAAATGGTCACGTGATTTACATGTGATGAATACAACTAGGGAGGGTTCCTGAAGAAGAAACTAGGTTTGCTGTCAATTGGATGCTTGCTTTGGACTAAATTGTTTCTGTAATATCAATCTCTGAAGGGTCCCAAGAATCTACTCAAGCCCTCTAATATTTCATGCTAGTCATATATCCATGGTCTTGTGGTATAGGTAATAGAATGTGACACAATTACAGCAGCTTATAGGGTGTTCTGATTTATTCATAGAAAGCAGTCTTGGGCACTCCAGTGCCCTTTCGTACGGTAACTAAAACAAGGATTGCAAAAAACCAACAATTGCTCCTCGCACTTGCAAATACATGGCCTTTGGAGATCACATGCTAATATTTTCATGATATTCTTCAGGTCTTTTTGTTTAGTTGGGAAATTGCTGAATGTTTTTGCAGAACCAATTCAGGCACATTTAGCCTCTGTGGATTCCAGAACTACAGCTCCAACAGTATAGAATCCTGAGGGTCTGAACCGAATTGGCCAGACTGTTTTTTGCCATTTTGGAAATGAAAAGATGCATAGAAATTGTAAAAAGTGGGATTTGTTCAGCATCCAAGTTCTCTGTGTTGTGCTGAGTTCTTTGCAGTTCAGGCAAATGATAGATGAAACAAACTGCAGGCACCCACTTTGATGAGAGGCAGACAAGGAGTTCCTGGAAAGTATCTAACCCCTTCTCATTTTTGTAAATTAAAAAAAACAGTTGGAATTAGGACTCCTCAACAGCTAATGCTGAGCTAGGCATTTTATGACTAAAGTAGCCGTGATACAACAGCATGCTTCCCAACTCTCTCTAACTATGTTGAGCCCGGTTTCCAAACCTTACATCTGTATAATCTGGTTTTTTTCTGATCTACAGCATCCCGAGTGACTGTTAAAAGAATCAGAACATGATTTCATTAGACTCAGCCAGGGAAGCCAAAAGGAGACATGACTTAAATCCAGCCCTTCTATCACTACAAAATAAAAAAAGCAGATTAGTTACAATCTTGCCGCAAGGATTTTCCATAAAGGCCATAGGTCTTTTTATTTTAATAGGTCATTTTAAATGTCATTATCCATGCTCTTAAGCAAACATAGCTGATTGGCCACGAAAGCAAGTCATCTACATCTCTATAACATGCTCATCTATGCTCACTTTCGAAAGCCAGATAATTGTGAGCTCCATTGTCCTATGTTGGACATACAGCAGTGGTGCAAAAAAGGTAATTCCAGCATCTCTTTTTATGATGCCTGCAGAGCCCCTAAGAATAGATGGGGCTGAAATACAGCCCCATTTTTAAAAGTTATAGACAATTCAAGTTACAAAGTCAGCTCTTTAAAATTTACATAGGTTTAAGGAACCTCTTAAAATCCTGAAGCCTAAAATTGCCCTCCTCATTTTTGGAATATAAGCCAATATTTTGGAATATAAGCCAATATTGCACTTGTACATTCCTCTTATTACTCTGAAAAAACAGAGACTTTATAACAGTCTTATTCCTCTTCTCTTGTGAGACATTTCTTCTTTCTTGCTTTTTCCAACTTTATGTCCACCATATTCTATGTGTACTCCAGCTGACCACCCAGCTCCTTTCTGTCCTTTACTTAGGAAAGTGTCTACATAGTGCATATTTTAAGAAATGAATTTTACAATATAACTTGAAACCAACATATATGGGATATGAGGGTTTTTTTCTCCCCTGCTGGATGAACACACTCAATCTTTAGAATCTTGTTTAATTTATTTTGATGCAACCTCTGCTCAGGAAGGTTAAGAGGGACTGTAATATATCCTTTGTAGAATGTACCATTCAGTTCTTTTAATTTCACAGTTCTGTTTTCTGTTAAAAGGATGTTTGATTGTCCCTATCTGGTTGAAGGTTTTTGCTTCTGGGCTCCAGATAGAGTCTGAGATCCAGACAAAAGCTGCCTTCTTTCTCTTTGTTGGTCATGCCATCTTGAAGAAGGAATCACACCTTGAGTCACCTATGAGCCATGGTGGTGCAGTGGTTAGACTGCAGTACTGCAGGCTACTTCTGCTGACTTCCAGCTGCCTGCAATTTGGCAGTTCATATCTCACCAGGCTCAATTTTGACTCAGCCCTCCATCCTTCTAAGGTTGGTAAAATGAGGACCCAGATTGTTAGAGGCAATATGCTGACTCTGTAAACTGCTTAGAGAGGGCATTTAAAGCACTGAAAGTGGTATATAATTGCTGTTGCTATTGCTATAGAAAAGTAGCAGAGCTTCTTCTATCATTACTGCTCCCTGCTCCCCAGATGGCCCCTCACTTTTTCTCATTGCCGCTGGTTTTTTTCTGTCTTAGGGGGAGAGGAAGGAGGTGAGGAGGAGGAAGAGGAGGACAAGATGCAGAATGGGAAGGACCGAGGTAAAAGCAGAGCTGTCGTGACTCTTTTAAACAAGTATATGGCAAGTTTTGGAATGTGCTTAAAAAAACCTAACACACTTCAAATTTAAAACATGTCAATGATTAATCAAAAAACTGAATCTAAGTACACATGGCATGCTTCACCTTGTTCCCAACATCGCCATGGGTATGAGTTGGTCCTGTTGCGAGGGGATTGCCAGCTGCAGCAGAGGCTCCACAAAAGACTCCTTTAGCATATAGTTTGTAATGATCAGCTGGATGGCTTGCCATTTTAACTTCTTACATTTTGGTTAATCAACCTTAATAGATGTTAGGTACAAAAATAGCTCCACAAAGCCTAATATGGATGGAGACCAAATGGCATGGAAAAGGAAGCATTTGCAATATTAGTTCAAGATCTTTTCAAGACAATTATCTGTGACACTGAGGATGTCACAGATGTGGTTGACTTTCATATGTTTGTGCACACATATTTGCTCACCTATTGGCATATTTCTTCCACCAGACATTTCATAGTTCCTTATTATTCATGGAGTTCACTGAACGATGCACTACTAATTTAACTTGCATGATTTGCCTTTGGATTACTAATTATTTTTAAGTTTGTTTTAAAAATTGACTAAAACCTAATAATGCTTCTTTCACTGACATAATGTTCACATTTTAAACATGAAAATAAAAATGGCTTTACCAAGCTTTCTTTTCTTTTCTTGCAGGTTAAATAAAAAAAATCTGGACCAGCCAGAGGTTTAAGTAAGTGTATGACTATTCTGTTCCAAACAAGCAGAACCCATTGTAATTCTTATAGTTCAATCAGAAACATTGTCCACCATTTTCTCTTCATAGACAGACAGAGAATAAGATAATAGCAGAGTAGTTAATATAGGTGGGGTGGGGCAAATATCCTGCTACAGAGTATTTTTGTGCCTTGCTATTGGTTGATGGGTGTATTGATGGCTGGCGATTGGTTGTTGTTTCCTTGTGCTGCCAAGCCCTTGGGCAGATTTACCACCAGCTTATCAGGTACTTAGGCACCAAGGGCTTGGCAGCACAAGAAACAACAACCAATCGCCAGCCATCAACACACCCATCAACCAATAAGAATGCACTACATAAATACGACTCACAGAGTAGCCCCCAAAGCACATATTCCACTTTAGAGAAGTTTCCTGAAGATGGGCCCCAGCACAAGTCGGAAATCTCGGAAGAATAAACCTGTGGTCCTGGTGTCCGACCCAGATTGAATCTTGCAATGTTAATTGCCCATTTCATGTGAACATTTTGCTGGAAGTCACTTCTGAGTCTTTTTAGCCCATCTAGACTAAAAAGAAAGTTGAGTCACTTTTCTTCATGGCAGAGTGAACTATAAATATAAATTACACATACAACCCCAGGTTTAACACTGTTCTCAGCCTAGCTAAGAATCATATGCAGCAATGTTCATAACTTATGATCTTTCCTGGCTGATGATCTAAAATATTTGTTTCCAGTGAGTATTGCTTACTTGGTTTCATATTTTAAATATTGTTTAGGAAGATAGAATTCCATCAATGCAGAGGCATATTTGGGGGATGTGTACTCTACTGACAATAGCAAACTCGTGTGGATTTTAGAAAGAATTATTTTCCTTTTCCTATATATACATCCCAAAGTTTATATCTAGCACCTTTGGCACATTAAACGTATGTTCTGCACCAGAGCTATATAACGAATGCCGACAATCTTAGTGATAACTATCCCACATAGTACAGGTGACATGTAGTTCAAATTGTGACCTTTTGTAGCAAGCAGAAATATCTTTCTTCTGCCAAGAAAGCTGGTGTGGTTTAAGCGTATCCTGACAGCATTCATTCAGAGGAACCAGATTTCAGCATTTCATTTTTATAGTCAGACAGAAATTCTGTTTGGTAGCCACCTCAAAGGGGATGGGATGGGAGAGGGATTGGGAATGTAAGAAATCCTTGGAGACGTCGGAGACGTCACTGTGATGAATTCTGCACTCTCAGTATTACAGATCTACTAGCACTTAGTGGAGTTATGCCCATCTTGCTTAAAATGCTTTGTGCTCTACTCTTGCAGTCAGCTAAGAGATCCCACTGCGTTTCCAGTGAACTGCTGATTCAAAGGGAATTTTTTCTTTCATGTGGGCCTTGGAGCCCTCAAGGAATCACCTACTGGGACTATGATCTGGAAACAATTTGAAATGCTTGTAGCTTTTTAAGGAGATGCACATGGCATGTGTATGCAGCAAACAAAAAATTGTTTGAAGCCTCATTTAATGTTTTTGGCTCTCTACAAAAGAACCTTGACAGTAGGAGAGAGAGAGAGAGAGACCGAAAAGAGCGAGTTAGCTAAACTGACCATTGGCTAAACTGATTTTTTTTAGTGAGATTTAAAATTCTGTGTGTATCTCTTATAGGACAGGTCTTCTATGAGATTCTCTCTGTCTTGATACAGGTAACAAGGTGTGAGCTCCTATTCTAAAGATGTCTCCACATCCTTCAGAAGAGGCATGATCCAACTGACACATCCACAATTGTGAAGCTGTGACTAACACAACAATTGCAGGGGAGCAGTCTTCTTCCAACAGACACAATGGCTTTTTCTGGGGGGGGAGGGCAGGGCAGGGGGCATCTCCTTAAATTTGCATGTCCTATTTCTGTAGGTGTTCAGTGCTAACTGGACAGAGCCTCATCTCTGTTTCAATGAGAAAGCTTTTTGAATAATGGCTTCTGAAAATGCAAGCCGCCTTCCTGTGAATTCTCTATCTGGGCTTCATTGTTCACACCTTATCATGCTCTGGCAGTTAACATTTGTGATCTTCAAGTCCCTCATGAGCAGACTTGCAACCAGCTGAATTTCTTCACCAAGTAACGGAGAGGAATGCTGGCTGTGGATTCTGATGTGGCGGCCGCCCCTCTTGCCTTTTCAGAATGCGGGTCTTGTCTGTGAATGGCAGGTTGCTTGGGTTGTTTGTGAATGCATGTCACACAACAGTGCCAGTGAGACAGATGGTGGTGCTGCCAGGAGGCAACTGACTTGGGTACCATTAAAGATAGTTTAGTGGTAAACAGATAGGTCTGACCCACAAGGTTGGTCCAGCTGGAGATTTCTCTCTGTCAGCCCTATCAAAATCAATGAGAGCATCACTAGAGCATTATCACTACCATGCCCTGTGCAGCTGGCTTGTTTCAGTCAGGATGGTATAGCGTTTTTGACTTGGTAGATTGTGCCCTTGGTTTCATTTTGTGAAATGGGCATTAATGAGGATTTTCACTGTGAGCAGTCTAGTGGATCTTATACCAGTCCTGATGTCAGGAGAAGGATGGGGGAGAGGTCCCGCATCTGGCAGCTACCTATAGAAATTCTCAGAACAGGTGGCTATGTGGTTGTTGCCTTATATGATGGCTTAGTGCAGGGGTGTCAAACTCAATTTCATTGAGGTCTGCATCAGGGTTATGTTTGACTTTGGGGGGGGGGNAAGAAAGAAAGAAAGAAAGAAAGAAAGAAAGAAAGAAAGAAAGAAAGAAAGAAAGAAAGAAAGAAAGAAAGGAGAGAGCCTAGTAAGAATATATCAAAATTTCGGAATCAAAATTTCAATAGCAAGTAATTTAATTCAAGACCAAAATGTTTATTATATACTGTATACCTTGGTGTATCATTTTCCTTCATCCCTTCCAGTAACTAATAATGATAGAATATCCTCCTCCTTTTTATATCCAGTACTCTAAGGTATTAAATAACAATCCAATTATCTTAAATTAGATAAACATCAGTCTATTGAAATAACACAATGTATCAAGATTTATATTAACACAATAAAAAGGGCAGGAGGTGCATGATGGGTCCCTTTTCTTTTATGGGTTATTACCAGCAATGATCATTTGTGAGTCATTATCTGACATGATTGCAGAAAAGAATTAACAATGAATTTGAGGAGAAATAGACTCTCGTGACACCTTTATAAAGATGGGTAGAAGAAAACCATGGAGATACCAGAAAATGTCGCTAACAAAGGAAGGAGGTGTAGCCTAGATTTTTGTTTTTAATCTTAATTCATTCTTAATTCTTTTCATAATTAGCCAGAGAGACGTGTAGTTATCCAGACTTCAGAAGCGTGACAGAAATTTCAAGCAAGTTTTCCATCTCCAATTCAAAGTTGGCTCAAAGGAAAACCTTTGAGCATGGTAATCAAGTGCCTATTACATTATTAAAGGAAGAGAAATGAAAGTTGGCAATAATCAAGGAAGCAAAATGTCTTTAGAGATTCAGGACAGCGAATCAGATCAAACTGGGCTTTATTAATAACGCTGCTGAGCCATAAATGTTTTGCTTCACAATATTGCAGCAAAATGGCCTTTTTACTAACTAGCATATGAGTTGTTCTTATTTTCTAGATTTCTTATTTTTCTATTGTCTGGCATATGGCTTTAATTTTCTATTTATATTATACACCACACAGAGTTGGCTGGAATGGAATTGGAATGGAAGTTAGTTAGTTAATTTTGGCCAGTCAAACTGAGGTTATAAGTTGCAACTGAATGGTTGCATTGCATACAGCATTCTTCACCTGGCTAATAAATTAAATCATTTCCTGAATTCATGCAATGGTTTGAGCCACAAACTCCCTGAAGAGCATGGATTTGCAAAATTATAAATCGCTTAACCAAAAGTAAAAAAGAGTCCCTCCAGATTTTACTCCGCTAGTTGTTACTGGCATTAGAGGGTGGTGCTCGTCTCTGTTTCAACGTCATTGAGCCAGTATTGTCCATAGACATTTTCACAGTCCTGGGGCCAGTATGATGTCAGGGAGCAGTGTTACCTTCCCACCAAAGTGGTACCTATTTATCTACTTGCATTTGTATGCTTTCGAACTCTTAGGTTAGCAACAACTAAGGCAAGGACAAGAGCTCACCCATTGTGTGGTGCTCGGGTCTCAAACCTGCAGTGTCTTAACCGTTGAGCTACTGTGCCTGATCCTTATTATATTATGTGAGAAATGCAGCTGGTTGACCCTAGCCTGATGCTGTGTACCATGTCATGACAATGTAACTTCTCACTGTAATTAGAAGATCTTAAAATACTCATGGTTGTTCTCATTTCTGTCATTTTCCTAACTCCGTTATGTGATTTTGTCAGCAAATGACTACTAAAGAAAAATAAATGCTCACTTAATTTCTCTAGAATCTCTTCGTCGGTCATCTTGGATTTCTTCCGTTGCCGATCTGTGTTTCTATACAAAGTGCTTGTGTTTGAATTTTCAGGCTGGGGGACTGTTGACTCTTTCACTGAGGCTGGTGAAGCAACAGGCTCTATCACTGAACGTGTGTAAATCTGAAACAAAGAAACAAAGAGCTGAGATTGGTGGACCCCCAAACAAATCCTTAGTGAATTGTCTTGCAGATGAGAACCAGTTGTCTTCTGCCCTTCCACAAATACTCCATTCCTTTCCAAAGATTTAATTTGGGCGAGCATGGAATGGATTTCAAGACTTCTAAGATGCTTTTCCATTTGTGACCAAAGGCCGGAGCAAGAGGTCCTCTCCATCTTTTCATGCACTTACAAAATGTTGGCACTGTTGTGGTCCACCGGCGGCCTATGGAGCTGACAGCAGAGTCAGACAGTGAGGAGGTTGGGGAGGAACATGGGTGAGGCCTGGAGTCTGGGGAAGGCTCGGACGAGGGCTCTGCGTTGGAGGCAGAGAGGGGGCGAGGGCCATCTGGCAGTTATGTGCTGCCTCCGGAGCCTCTAGAGTCGGACAATAGTGAGGCAGAGGAACAGGGGGAGCCCATTCCCAGTGCACACATGCGCAGAGCTGCCAGAAGGCAAGAACAGTTAAAACAAAAAGGATGACTTGGGAGTAAGGCTTGGAGATGATTGGCCCTTCCCATAAGATATAAAAGAGGAGCAAACAGACACGAGCCTTTACAGGAAGCAACTTTGTTCATTCTGGTTGGTTTAAACTCTGAAGCTCCGTTTTGACTCTCTGCTCCATTTGGCCTTGCAAAACTAATTGGCAATTAGGTCTTTGGTAGTGTTTCAAGGGAGATAAAAGCCCTATCCCGAAAGATTGTGGCAGACTTCTGTCAGACTCTTCACAGACTGTTTATGACTCATTACCGGCTGTGAATAAACATAATTCACAGCCTTTTAAATAAAAAGAGGGGTTTG